CGTTCCTGAATGAATGAATGAATGAATGATGAATCTGAGAAGGGATGAATGACAGAATGAATGGGGAGGGGTTGGTTCCTAAAGGCACTAAGAACACGGTGGATCATTTTCCCCAGGACTCCCACCCTTCTAAGCCTTTCAGAACTTCTTCCTAAGTACCCACTTCAGGGCCCTACACAGGACCCTGAGCAAGAGAAGCAGAGGCTATGGGGCAGGTAGGATGGAGGCAGGCAATGGGGAGCCTGTGCGGTCCTGCAGGGCAAGAGGCCTTGTTCCTCCTCCCCACTCTTCCTGGAAACTTATACAGGGGCTGCCCCCCCCCCCCCCAGGACCCACCTTCTCTGTCTGGGCCACATAGGGACACAGGTTGGGTTCACAGGGTTTAAGCTTCGGTCAGACATTGGTGCTGCAGGGGAAGGGAGGCCCAGCAGGGTGGAGACCAAGGGACCTGTCACCCTGATGAGTGTAGTGTGCACATCTGCAGAGCAGCTGCCATGTTCCCCGGTGCAGGCCTCCTGCCGGGAGAAGTGGAGCCTGGCCTGGGACCCTGCTTGCTGTCAGAGTGCCCTGGGAGGTGAGGCTGATGGCAGCTGATAGGGAGGGAGAGACTTTCTTCTGGCCACTGGCAGGGTGAGGAGGGGCCTGGCACCCTATGCGTGTGCATTCTCTGTCCTGCACGCCTCACCCCGAGGGTTCTGGCCTGGCTGTAAACCACCCCTCCGGTTCGCTGCAGACACCCCAGTGGGCTAGGGTTTGGTGAAAGCTGTTGTGGGTCCAAGGGTAAGAGACAGAGAGGTTGGGCGCCCAAATATCATGGAGAAGACCTCTTGGGGGGCTCAGGGTTTCTGGCATCCAAGAACTAGCACCGAGGTTGGGAGGAGGACCACGGTGGGAGGCTCGGAGGCCTAGGACAGGTCCCCTCCTGAGAGGCCTCTCCTGGAGGTCCTCAGACATCATCCTGCCACCCCTCCTTGGACCAGAGCCTGATCGGCAGCATCTCCTGCTATTGGGCATCAGCTGGGATGAGGGGCAGGGGTTTGAGGTAAAGGACAGAGTGCCCCTCCTTATGCGTCAGCTTTGGCCCCACCAACCTGAACTCTGACCCCAAAAGCCCTACTCTGGGTGCCCATGGAAGTCTGAGGGTGTGTGAGGCTCGCTCTGATCCCTGGTGTGTCGGGGACCCTGGGTCTTCACCTTGTCCCATGCTCAACCTGCTTGTGGCTCTCAGGTTTATTCCTGAACATTCCCAAAGGCACTCACAGTAGGATTCTAATAGGGACCTTCTGCTTTCTCAGCAGGGCCACTAGCCGAACCAGAAAGGCTGAAGCCTGCAGTATCCCTCCGCTCCCAAAGCTTTCTCACCGTCAGACCCCTCCCCCCTCACTCCACCCTTCACCCCCTTGTCTGCCCTCCAGCAGGTCCCACATCAGGCCTTGAATTTTAGGGTGCCCTCGGGAAGGGCAGGTGGGTAGCCACCATGTCCAGTGAACCCTGCTCCCACAGTCCATTGGTCTCTGGGGGCAGAGGACCAGCTCTGGGGCCACACTGGGAGGTATTCAAGGTGCAGGATGGAGCAACAGGGGCAGTTGCCAGGGGAGTCTGACCACAGGTCTCCCAGGAAGTTGTGCGCAGGCCTTAGGACATGTGTTTTCGTGGACCTGGGCATTGTCCTGACATGTAACCTGAAGTGATCCTAAGGTTTGTGCAACCCCATGAGCTCCAATGGAGTGCAGCCTCTGTATCGCTCATTGGGCCACCGTGTGGCCAGCTCAGGCGCCCCCCCCCCCCCCCACATCCAAGGCCGTCCTTCCTCAGGCCACTTTCCTGCCCATGCACTCCACTGGGGCCCTTTTCTGGGGACAGCTTACCTGAATGGAACAGGAAGGCATTACGGTAAGCCGTCCACAGTAAACCCTAGAGCAGCCACTAAGAAAATAACAAAAAAAATATAGAAAAAAATGTGTCATTAATGGGATAATTTAAATGTTATACTAATAAACAAAAATAAATAAATAAATGTTATACTAGAAAATATTTACTTAATGCAAACACACACACACACACACACACACACACACACACACACAACCCAGTCTAGGAGCTATAGAGGAACACAATGACATGAGATATTTGGAAAACAAGAAAAATGACAAATGCAAATACAACTCTATCAATAATGTGAACAGATTAAGAGTCCAATCAAAAGGCTGAGATCATCAGACTGGATTCAAAAGCAAGATCCAGCCCTCGCTGGTTTGGCTCAGTGGATAGAGTGTTGGCCTGTGGACTGAAGGGTCGGCCCCGGATTCTATTCCGGTCAAGGCACATGCCTGGGTTTCGGGCTCGATCCCCAGTAGGGGGCGTGCAGGAGGCAGCTGATCCATGATTCTCATCATTGATGTGTCTATCTCCCTCTCCCTTCCTCTCTGAAATCAATAAAAAATATTTAAAAAATAATTAAAGGGTAATCCATCAGAAAGGTGACAATTATAAACGTATGCATCTAACAACAGAAGCTTATGTACTACTAGAGGCCCAGTGCACAAAATTCATGCACAGGTAGGGTCCCTAGGCCTGGCCAGCGATCAGTGCCGATCTGTGGGGTGACCGGCAGGGCAATTGCTCCCCCCTCCCTTGCTGGCACCCACCTTGGCTGGCCTGGGCCTGTGGGCTGGGGGCAGCTCCTGCATTGAGCATCTGCCCCCTGGTGGTCAGTGCACGTCATAGCCACCAGTCGTTCCACTAGTCGTCCACAGTTCGGTTGATTTGTATATTAGGCTTTTATTATATAGGATTCTGACTCAGGAGAGGGAGGCAGGGGTCTGTGACTTCAGAGGGAAGGCAGCAATTCACAGGTAGATTAGCAGGCTCAATATTTAGTAAACAAATTATTGCAGGGTCACCTGGGAACAATGGGACACCAACAATGGCACACCCAGGGGAGTCTAAGAAACAGAATTAGCTCCTCCTTGCCTACAACACTCAGATCATATTATGATGCTAATGTAATAGACAGTTCCCTTCCTTAAAGCAGGTCTTTATCGGAATTCCTTTAGGCAGGTAAAGGGGGAGGTTCAAGAGTTCTTTCTGAGTTTGTTTTTGTTTGTTTTTTTAAAAAAAACAGCTTAAAATAAGCAAATCCCAAAAGATGTATTTTGGAATAGCAAGCTCTGCTTCCCCCTCACCCCCACCTGCATGGTTGGATGACAAGTAGAGATCACATAAGAGAAGTAATAAGAGTTATTGCCTCCCGGCTGGTCCGCTCAGCGGTTGAGTGTCAACCCAGGAACCAAAAGGTCACCAGTTCAATTCCCGGTCAGGGCACATGCTCGGTTTTTGGGTTCCATCCCCAGTAGGGGTGCATGCAGGAGGCAGCCGATTGAGGATGCTTCTCTCTCATCGATTTTTCTGTCTCTCTCCCTTCCTCTCTCTCTAGAAATCAATAAAACCATAGTTTTAAGGGGAGGGGGGGGAGTTATTGCCAATGCCAGATACCATGCTGAGCGCTCCTTCCAGCCATTAATTTGCTTAACGTTCGCAGACACTCTATGGGGTGGGTGCTATTAGAGCGACTTGGCACAGCTAAGAAAATGCAATTGCTGAAAGTTACACGACTTGCCCGAGGTCACCAGCAGAAAGCTCTGCTCCAGGATTTGACTTGGCGGCTCTTTGCCTCTCCTCCCCCCAGCCTCCCGAGGGACCTGCTTTAACACAGTGGAAACACAGCTGCCACTTCCTTGTCCTTTCCGCCAGCTGTTCCTGGCTTTCCTCTGCTCCCAGGGGCCTCGCTCCAGACCGGCTGAGGCCAGGGCTCAGTGCGGCCTCACAGCCTCCCCTCCCCCTGCTGCCAACTGCTCAGGCCCTGCAAGGGGCCCACACTCCTGGGAGAGAAGCTGCCCTGTCTTAAGGTGCATGGAGAATGGGCTGGGGGACCTTTGTCCCTGCCTGGGCAGGGGGAGCGTGGCTCTGGTTTGCTGGCCTTTATGGCAGAAGGCAGACGGCTTGGGCAGGATTCATGGCTCCACCCTCAGGGTCCCTTTCCTGTGAGTCTGGGGCCCATCCCTACTTCCCTCTGCTTCCCAGCTGCACCAAGGAGTTTCCCAGACTTGTGGGCCCACGTGGCCAGCTTCCCTCACTTCCGCCCTGAGCCCCATCTGCCTGCTGAGCCCACGGCCCAGTCCTGCCCCCTGCCTTGCCCACTGCTCACCCCCAGGCCAGGCCTGAGCTCAGGAGCTGGAAAACGGCTGGGACCCGACAGCAAACAGAGGCCTTGGCATTTGGGACCAAGCCTGGGTCTGCTGGGTGGACAGGGAGCGAGGAGAGTCTAGGAAAGAATGAATAGGTGGGGAAAGGACGAGGCGGCTGGAAGCCCCCGATTTCAGAGAGGGTAGCACCTATGGTATTTATTTACTCAGCCCTTGGTATGTGCCAACCACTCCCCTAAATTCTTCACCTGCATAATCGCACTGAATCCGCACGGCAAGTCTATAAAGTAGATATTATCACCTTCAGTCTACAGACAGGGAAACTGAGGGACAGAGAAGTTAGGGGGATTGCCAAGGGCATATGGAATTGGCCGAACCGGGATTTGAACCCAGCTCAGTCCACTTTTCCTGTACACAGGCGAGAAAGGGTCAAAGCTGGGGTTAGAGTAACCCAAGGGGGCAGGGAGGCCAGCTGTCTCTGAGCCCCAGAGGGACGAATTTGTGTTTATTTTCAGGGTCTTCTCTGGCATCATATACAGAAGTCGCTCCCAGTCCCTCTCCACTCCCTGCCCGCCTGGGGCTGCTACAGCTCGGAGCAGGACTGGGTCAGGACCGGAATGGGACCCCGGGGTCGAGGTGCCCAGCAGGGGGGTAGGCGAAGCCTGCAGGATGACAGACTCCAGAAGCCCTCCCTGAACAAAGACTGGGTGGGAGGCGGCCTGGTGTGTCCCCACCCCGCCTCCCCCAGTGCCTCTGAGCCCAGACCACAGACAGCAGCAGCCAGACAGAGCGAGCATGGCGGGGTTGGGGGCCGCTCGGCAGCTCCTCCTCCTCCAGCTCCTGAGCCTGGCGCAGGCCCAGGGGGTGGGCAGAGGTAAGTCGGGGAGGCAAGGGCTTAGGGTCGGCCAGGCAGGACCCGTCCTTGCTCAGCCCAGTCAAAGGGAAGGAGCTGGGGCTGCAGCTGCCTCTCCCGGCCCTGCCTGGGGCTGGAGGAGCCAGCGTGGGGGGGGAGCTGGGAGGCTGGGATGTGTGGTCCAGGAACGGGAGGGGGGCTTCCCGCTAAGGCCTGGGGAGGGATTTCTGCAGGCAGCAGCGGGGAGAGGCAGCCCTGGAATCTGGGAGTCTGAAGTTAATTATTTGTCTTGAGAACCAGGAAAAAAGAGGCCCGCTGTGGGAGCTGACTTTGAATCTCTGAGTCTGGCTCTCCCCCAGCGGGACAGGCGGGAAAAGAGGGATCAGAGAGGGGAACTGAGGACGGCTCCGTGGGGAGCAGCTAGGCTTTGTGCAACCCTCGGGCGCCCTTTCTGTGGGTCTCTCCAGGCACCGGACTGCCCCATCTTCCCTGGGGGCTCCAGGGGACCCCCAGCCTCTCCCTGACCCTCTAATCGTTCCTGCTTAGGCCGGTCTGGGGAGGATCATGGGGGATGGGAATCAAGCTGGGTGGAGGGTGTAAGATGCTGAGACCCCGTCTTGGCCGCCCTTCACGGGCTGGCCAGGAAGGCAGAGCGCCATTCCAGGTGGCCCCGCGCGGGAGGGGGCGGCAGCACGCACCAGAGGTTTGGGTGCCCACATCTGTTGGGCTGTTAGAACCTGGATGTGGGGGGTAGCAGGGCGGCTGAAAAGGTGGGTGGCACTTGTGAAAGGTCACATTTGGACCTGCTGCTGGGAACCTCCAGGCGTGTGGGTTAGAAAGGCTGTGCCAGGGGCGGGGAGCAGCTGGAGGCGGGCGGGCTCTGTCTTCAGTCTTCTTGGTAGAGACAGAGGGAGAGCAGAGGAGAGGTGGAGTGGGCTGGGGACGCCTGGGTGGGACCAGAGCCGATGGGGTGTGGGGGAGGTGCAGCAGCGAGGAGCTGAGCCCCAGATTTCCGAGTAAGTGGGGGTGGCATTAACCAAGCCAGGAACCCAGGCCATGCAGGTTTGGAAGAAAGAGGACAACGTAGGTTTTGGACTAGAATCTCCAACGCCCCTTGGTGATGGCAGCGGGGTGGTGGGGAGAGTGGGTGACATTGGTCCCCTGCCTCACTAGTGTCCCTGAGAGAAACCCTTTTAGCCACTAATGAGCTGCTTCTGCGGGAAAGACCCTCCCTCCCCCCCCCTCTTCCAGCCCCTCTGTGCCCTGCCACCCCACCTGGAGGTCTGTGGGGTGATTGTGGAGTTAGCTTGCCCCCTGCCACGGCTTTTCTGTCTCTGCCAGCAGGAGAGGGGTCCACATGCGGTGAAAGTGGCTGTCCCCAAGCCTACATCTGAGCTCAGAGGCCCCCCTTTCCCTCAACATAATGTCACCTAGAACCAGGGTCAGCTGTCTTCATTCCACCTGGAGCCTTGCAAGCTAGTGGGGGCCCTGCCAGTAGCTTCCCCAAACCCTTCAGGGAATGCAGCCTAGTCTCACTCTCTGGAGCCCACCCGGCCCCATGTGGGGTCCCCAGGCCCCTCGGTCACAGCCTGGACTCTGTGGCAGGTCTTCAAGGTGGGAACAGAGAGCGGAGTTGCAGCACACCCCCCCCCCAACACACACACACACACACACACACACACACACACACACACACACAGTCTCCAGGAACGGCGCCTTCTGACAGCAGGCGGCTGGCAGGGTTTGCTCACACCAGAGCCCGGCACCTTCAAGCAGCCGCCTTTCACACGTCAGTCTCCCTCTCCTGCACGTCCGCCTGTGCCGGCTCCTGGGCCCCCCAGCATGGCATGTCAGCTCCGGGCTGCCCCTGGCTACGTCCCTGAGTGACCCTGACGTGCAGGGAGGCTCTGGTCGAGATACCCCTGTGCCCCCAGAGGCCCAGGATCCCTGGGGTTGGCACCTGACTGAAAGGTTCCTGCTACTTGGGAAAGCTGGTCTGGGTCACCTTTGTCCACTCAGGCCGCCCCCCCTCTCCCCTTCCATATCTTCACTCTACCAGCCTCACAGACCGTGTCTCCTTCCATGGATGACGGGTGGGCAGGTGGACAGGGGAGGGGCACACCATTGGGAAGCAGGACCCAGGACCTTGCTCGCCCCTCACCCAGAGGCCCACCCTGGATTCTTGTGCCTCCAGGTGGCGCTGTCTTGAGGGAGTCCCCGGGGCTTGCTGACATCCATGACTACCAGCAGCAGGCCCCCGCCCGCTCCTCAGACCCCACTGGGGCCTTGCAGGAGCAGTGGCGCCCTCTGCAGGAGTCACTGAAAAGGCTGGAGGCTGAGGTGACACAGCTCAGAGAGCAGGTACGTTGGAGGCGGGGCCTGTGTGCTGTGTGCTGTGTGCTGTGTGCTGTGTGCTGTGTGCGTGGGGTAGGGCAGGCCTGTGTAGTGGGAGGAAAGGAGAGAAGAGCTGGGCTTGGAGGAGGCGGCGCTAAGGGACCCTAAATAGTTTTGTCTTAAATGTACATGGAGAGATTCTTATCTGAACAGTTCTTAATATCATTTCTTTCATAAACATGCAGAACCTCCAGGGTATCTGTTGTGTCAACCCAGACTTTCATATTCTTTCATGTATTTGCAAACATTATAGATAGAGCACCTAGTGTATATAAGGCATCACCAGGAAAGATTTTGAATGAATAAAGGACTTCAATTGTTGGGGCGGGAGGATGGGCTCTCCTCTGTCCAAAGGAGAAGCCTGGGGCCCCATGCCCCCCTGGGGTCCGATCCAGACCCCAGGTCGTGAGAACTGTGGCGGTTTGAGCTGGATGCTGACTGACTAGAGAGGGACCCACGTCTACCCTGGACCTGTCAAATTTCCTTCTCATGCTGCCTCAGTTTTCACAACCCACAAGTCTGTGGGGGAAGCTGAGCCAGCACCTCCAACCCCCCAACTCTTTGCTCCAGAACAAGGACCTGCAGGAGAGGATGAGGCAGCTGGAGTCCTGCGAATGCCGCCCCGCTTCTCCCCAGTGCTGGGCGCTGGGGCAAAGCGGGCCTGAAGGGGCTCGATGGCAGCTTTACGCCTGCCCGCTTAAGCCCTGTATTGACGTCTCTGCGCACATCGACACCAAACGTGTACCGAGGCATCCCCGAAAATAGAGGGGTCCCTAATCTTTGCTGTGCGAGTTTAGCCATTTTGGTAGCGATAAATGAGATCTAGTCCCTTTTAAAAGCTAGCATCCAAGGAGCTACGTACGGGTGAGTGGGCTTAATTTACAAAATTTCTTTTTGCTTCTCGGAGGGTGCGCTGGTGCCACGTCTGTTCTTTTCGTGTAACGCT